GTCCCAATAGAACCGTCAGCTTCTCCGTTGCGCTAAACATTTCCTTTTGTGCCGCGTTTATCCTTGTGGCGTCAATTGAAGTCAATATTTAACATCTGCATCGACACCGTCATTCTTTGGAGCCAGGTGCTCGCTAACCTGTGGCGGACTTTGTTTTCGAAAATTCAAGACGTAATACGAGAGCAACGATTCCGGCGCGCTACCGTTGGTGTTGAAATCGATTGTATTTCATCGAAGAAGGATACACTATGCTGACTCAATTTTCAGCATTTTCTTCCGGGCTAATTTAAGGGCATCTCCTGATCTAGAGGGTTATTTTTTTTGCTTCTTTAGGAAATTTTTTCATCGAATCTGTGGATTGTATGGTTCTATGGTTTTCTACATACATTTGGCAATATTTCAACAGTGTAAGGAAATTTTTTGAGGCAAGAATTGTAATTTTTATAGGAACTAGGGAGAAGTAAAAATATTGGTGTTTACTATCTTTTTCATCTGCCAAGAGGAGAGCGCAAAAGCATTCAAAAATCGTAAATACAAATTTTAAGAGCCGAAATTCTTTTATTTATCAACGTGTTTACTTCTCTCTAATTCGTACCGTAACCGTAACCATATTAATTGAAACGATTCATCATTAATTCGTTTCAAATAAACACAACGACCGAAATCATGGCAACTATGAACATTTTTTAAGTACCTTATAGATTTGAAACATTGCCAAATATATGTACAAAACCATAGAACCATACAATCCACTGATTTAATATAACGAATTCTCTAAGGAAGTAAAGAAAGCAATCCTCCAAATCAGGAGACCTTCTTGACACTAAACCTACCGAGCCAGTCAAAATGACTGGCTTCACATTTTTTATTTTAATGTTGTTGGAATTATAAAGACTGTGGGAAATGATTGAATTAATATCTCAATGTAAGCATACCTTATAACAAAAAATTGAAATACACTCAGTCTTGTCATCATTTCGAAGCAACACACGTTATTCGCTGTTAATTTAGGTTTAGTGTAAAATGTCTTTTGCTGGAAGTATTTCATAACGTAGAAAAGGATTGATCGATCACTAATTGTAATCGAATAGTGAAATTTAAAAGGTTATGTTATCACTATATGTTTAAATATGTGCATTCGTAGGTTTTCATTTGGTATTCACGAAGTCACATTTCTAAAAAATTGCAATACGCTCTCCGATATTCCGTACGTTTCTAATGTTTCAAAAATGTACGTCGATTGCATATTTTCGGAAGCAATCTGTAAAACTATGCAAAATATTCTGAATGAAATGGTTAACCCCTTACCGCGCTTTGACGAGTTTTTAAATCGGAATGAAATTCTCTTTTCTTGTGATCAATATTTAAGCACTCAAGTGAATGTAAGCACGCAGTGAATATAATTTCTGTTAAGATATTAATACGATCGAAAAAGTTTGAATCATTGTGACTATGAAGGTAATAGTACGACGAATGGCTAATATGGTTTCACTGCGAATATTAATCAATCATTTTTGCACTCGAATATATGTTGACTCCAAATCTCAGTAATTTCATGGAACCCATACGAGCCGTTTATTTTGAAAATGGCCTAAGTCCATTTTCCAAGAACATCGAGCTAGCTATTTCGATATTTACATTTCTACACAACGTCATATATAATTTCATTTCAGTGAAACCTCTAAAACGCGATAACCCTTAGACAAAAACATTATACTACCATGTTATCAGTTACCAATATTTTTAAATTTATTAAAACGCGAAATCCTCAAATATCTGGATTTTAAAATAAATGGACTTAGGCCACTTACAAAATAAACGGCTCTTTTATTTCTACCGATTCAGAAAATTGAATAAGCAAAATGATTTAAATGAGCGCATTCGCCCGTGACGCACTTAAATTTTAAGCAACGTGTTACAAACAAATACAGCAACGTGAAACTTGTTCGGAATTATAATAATTTTGAGTGGCCATTCAAGTGCAAAGTGTAAAGTAGTAATTATCGTCAAAGAAGAATGAAGATTTGCCTTTGCTGGCGACGAGACAGGCAGGTATCAGCTCAATGTCCTTCTCCTCGAAGAACTGTCTGCATTGCATGGTGATAAAGTCACCACCTAAAGGGCTCTTCACGATTCCTTGAGTAATCACATAGCCATCGTGTACGGGCACCGCGCTCGTATGCGTCGCGCCGCTGTCAACTACCATGGCCGTCGATCTCCCGTTCGCATATGCTGCCAGCACAGCGTTCTTGCAAATGTACATCGCCGGTACATTAAACTTCTCGAACATCAGCTCCAGAAGCTTCTCCCGTTTCAACCGCGTGTTCCATGGACATTCGGTCATCAATATCGGATGGTGTTCCGGAAGAGCGTGTAATTTTTGCTTGTAGGTGTACTCCGTTAGGCGCTCGAACATGTCCCAGCCTTCGATCATCCCATCTTGCATCAGGCTGATCAAGTCCATGTCTAAGAAAAAGATGACCGTTATCCTCGATATAGTTAAACTAATTTAATTTGTGTGATACCGTGGCTGCGCGATTTTAACCGCTTGCACTATAACGGCGAGTTAGACTCAAGAAGACGATTTCGCATATAATCTACTGATATATTAATGTAGGTATATAGTTTTAAGCCTTCGTATTATAACGAGGAGTCAGAATCCTGATGAAGATTGCACAATATAATCCACTAAATACGAATGTTATTCATTCCTTCCAAATCGAATCAAAATTTGATTCTTGCGTGGTTAAAGTTTATGAACGATAGTAGATGAAGAGAAGTAAGAGACAAAAGTTGTCTCATGCTATCAGGAATATTATGAAGGACGAAGAAATGCTAATAGACGTAGTTGAGAAAGCAATCGCAGTACAGTAATTTCTCCTTAATTCGCGCTTAGATTGCGCACAAAAATGGACAATTTGGGAAGATGAGATAGGATTATTCGAGCCCTCGACAACTATAAAAACTAGACGCAAGACTCGAATAATCCTATCTCATCTTCCTAAATTGTCCATTTTCGTGCGTAATTTGAGCGTAAATTAGGGAGAAATAACTGTATACCGAACTCGATTACATTTCCGAAAAGAAACATTTTCTAATGAATTTATACCGACAGTCAGGATTAGGTCGTCGAAGTAAGATAGCATAATCGAAAACAGTAGATTTAATATTACTAACAAGGCGATACCATTAAATTAGTATAAGTTATAACAAGCAGCAACGATGATCGAGCTCAATAATCTAGAATGACAAAAATAACTAGAACTAATTACAATTAGTAATCACGCTGTTGCTTTCGTGATTATTTCATTTCTAATAATTTCGTAACACGTTGTATCGCCAGCATTGTTTGCGGCCACAATATTTTTTTGTCTATATAGAAAGTATTGTTGACAACATTTTTTCCTCGTCGAAATTAAAGTTCTTCGATATTTCGTTTTTATAAACATTTGCAGAGTAAAATTACGTCTCCCTATAGCGCATTTGTGTATACAGTTTTCATCATTGAACGTCAAACTAACTGCGTGTACAAAGATCGTATTTTCGATTGAATCAGAATGAATCCTCCGATGAATGTAATTGTCGGAACATTATTCGCGTTTAATAAAAACAAGAAGAATTAGCGATTATACCTTTTTTCCGCACTTGGATAGCCGTGACATCGATGTTGTAGTGTTTCCTGACGGCCTGATTGCCGTCCGGCGTTTCGATGGTGTCCTCCCATATTCCGAGGGTGGTCGGAATTTCTGCCTTCGGCGTGTCCTCACCGCCATAACCAACGCGAAGGCTCTGGTGTCCGACGTCGAAAATGATAGCACCGACCTCGTCTGCGGGCAAACCGAATTATTTAACAGCCGTATCAGCCGGATGGCCACGTTTTTTACATGAAAAACTCGGACCGCGTCGCACATACCTCCGCCGTAAATACCACCGCTCATAGTATCTGAGAGGAGAGTCGCGTACGCGCATGCTCCGCAACCCTCTTCGACCTCATCGGTCCATAATACCCCTTCTTCCTCCTTGCGAGCGTATATCGAGGATTCTGCGACCCTCCGACGTCTCTGTATTGTTCCTTTTGCATATCCGAATCGACGATCGGGAGGAGGACGAACCGCGATCGATTTTCGCGCTCTGGGGGCCGCTGTGCACCTTTTCTTTCGAGGAGTGCGAGTTCCGCGGTGTCAGCTATTACCTTTTTTCCAAAAAAATTTTTTTCGAAAACGATTCAACCTCTGACCTCGTTAAAAATCATTTCGATAAAGCAGACTACCATATAACGCGATAATGGGTTGCGCGTTTCACGAATTCGTGTCGAAAAAGATCATGTTATACGAAAACTTTTTTCTTATAACACGAACAATATTGCTATCGTGTATAGAGCAAACATTTTGTTCCGTATAAGTACAACGAAAGAAATAAATTAATAAATTCGTTACTCATTATTTCATTATCAGTTCGGATAATCACAAGGTTCTGCTAACAAACTATATAAGAAATTGAGAGCGTAATCACGTTACAAGATGTTCGACATATGTAAATACTAAATAAATTATATTATATAATATAGTAAAATATTAAATTAAATATTATTATAATGAGATGTAAGTACTAATTACTAAACTGTGGATCTTCATGCATTTATGACGCGTATAGATTTTTAAAGTGCAAGAGAACGTTCTCTCTTTTTACAATGAGTAATCTTTTAGTTGACGCAGTCACCAAACTTTACTAGTAGATTTTAATAATAGTAATGAATTTAATGAAGTTTAATAACAGTAATAAATACAATCAATATTAATAACAGTTACAATTCAATAAATTCATAATTTTAAGAAATTTCAGTTAACTCGAAACGTAATTTTTGTAAAATGATGTATGAACACGAGAATTAATTAATTAATCTACTTTAAGGAGTCTACTAATTAATTAATCACGGTTATGTTAATGCGTTGAACATGACGCGATATGTATGAAGGACAGAGTAATCAGAAGACAGCAAGTTCCATTATGGAATTAGTGTTGTATATTTTACAAAGTAAATAGAATATAAACAATCTAAAGTCGTCTAAAACACAATAGTACGAATTTCGTGGTAAATCATTCTTCATATATTATAAAGTATACGATTTGTCAACAGATCGATATCTTTTCTTCCATTTGTGTCCCGCGGTGTCGCCTTGCTGGACCCGGGTTTCGACATAACGAGAGAGAGAGAGAAAGAGAGAGAGAGAGAGAGAGAGAGAGAGGGAGGGAGAGAGAGAGTGAGAGTCACGGGACTCTCGAAAATCATCGTCACATTGCCGAGTGAACGTTGCGAACGGTGAACTGATTCGATGGCAACATATGTATAGATGGGTGCGTCTATTTCCGCCTTATTTCTCTGTATATCCTTTATTACACTTTTACTTTAACGTCGATCAAGTGATTTGTTGGTACACTTTTCCGGGTTTCCTTATCGCGTCGAATCGGTCCGTCGATCGTTAATCGAATTGCGTTCGCGCTTCGGATGAGGTACACGTACGTACAAGTTAGCATGTTATTACAGACACTTTACAGACGATACGGTAGCTTTATCTTTATTTATATGGTTTCTTTGGATGGGGTGGGCGGGGTGGTTTTCTTTCACCAACGTTAATCGATTTATTTTTCTTTACACTATACGCCTGTTTACTAAAACGTTTCAGTCTCTCTGTAATTGAAACGACACCGATGACAACGACGAACATCATGGCATTTGTTTTATTCCTCTGTTAATCTTTATTTAGTTATCGTTTAAGTCGCCTATCCTGCTCCTCCTCCTCCTCGTAGCTTCCTTAAATTTTATACACGTATAACACACGTTTCCGCGGAGACGAGAGAGAAACGGCCGCCGGTCGTCAAAAGGAGCCGCGCTCACTGATCAACGCGTTCGCTATCACCCTCGTGTCGTAATGTACTTGAAAATGGTCAAATTAATTTGTCGAACGTTGGTATGCGAAGTCACGATCACGGTAACCAGAATAATGAACTATGTTTCCTTGTCGATTCGCACCGAGCATGTGCGAATCGAAGTGTTGGGCATAGCGGGTGTTTCTATACGGTCTGCACTCCTTCGGCTCGAAATCTAGCTTGTTTTTCTGGCTACCATGGCCACAATATGTAGCATAACAATTCAGAAGTCCTCAATTATCGTTTGCTAAATTATTTGAATATTTTACAAAGGAAGCACGTTGCATTTATTAAAACGTTTTAAGAATGCATCCTGGCAACGAGAAAATGGTGGTAGCGAATGCATTAAAGTTCGCGTTCTCAGAAGGAACGACGCCGGAAATCAGTTGGATAGAAACGATTCTACGGAACTGGAAGACCAAGGAAACTCGTAACAAACCGCTTAGCGTGTATTGATCGCCGTGGGAATTATGCGCTCGATGCAATGAAAACCGTCTTTTCTCGTGATCCTGCTGAAACGTAGTCTTAAGCATAGGACGATTCGCGTTAATCGACGTTGCCGCTCGTAACGAATCGAAAACCGGGCGTTTCGTTACGACAATTAAGGTAATAGGAGGCTCCCTTAGCGAGAGTGAACCCTTAAATCGCTTACAGACAAACACCTTGTCGCAGTCTTTGCGTGAAATGGACTCAAAGGACGTCGTAGTCACATTTACATGCTTTGAATCAGTGCTGTCCGTGCTCCGATAACCAATGAAATAGACTTTTTCTGCTCGGCGGAACGCTGCTGCATCGGAAACTTTTATTTACATGGAAAGTTGTCGCAATGAAAAGCTTTGCCGAACGTTGCAATGAACGTAAAATTCAACGAAATCCAATTTTGTCGTAAGAGATTCATTCGACGCGTTAAATGATTTATGATATTGTAAATCATGTAAAACTTAACGTTTAACTGGCACGATAATTTTCACAAAAATAACTGGTATATCGGGTCATGATAGACCCCAAATAAAAAGTGCAAAGAGATGCGATAATCTAATTTTAGATCAGTCCTCCGTTGTATTTGCTTCTTAGCTAGTGTATAGAACAATAAAAACATGTGGAATCTAATTCTTTTTTACGAAATGAAATAGAGATATAATTTTGGGACTAGTTACGACCCTAGTATACCAGTTAAGTGTTAAAGAAACCGAAGTAGTGAAGCTTAACTTTTTCGCGTTGTGAAAGTTCTTTTAAAATTTCATTTATTCGAATACGTCACAATAGAAATGAATTTCTAAACGTGTTCAAAGTATCATCCACGTGTAACCAATTGACAGTTGTAACCAATTCGACACGTAACGAGTTACCACATTCGCTACCAGTGCGTATTTTAAGTCTTCATAGTTATTACATTTTCCTTGAAATGTGAACAATGATTAGAAATCCTTGAAATATACAGCTATGCTGCGCATACACAATATTAATTTAATTTTATGTAAAACACAAGATCATGATCGTCACAAAACTGGCAATGAACGTGTTAACGCGACTATATAATAAAAACAGCAATCTCTTTAGAATGAGAAATCAACGATTCTAAGAGTAAAACAAATTCCAGTTTGACGAGCAGTGAAGTACTTTCCGAGTATATTTTGAACATGATTGAACATGATTTAGGCGAGCGAGGTCTTCCGTTGTTGGACAGCACTGTTCCGTAGGATAACATCAACGTGAATCCGTCAACTTCGTTGGAAGTGGGCGAGTGTAGCCGCTTATAGAATAATTAGTTTCATCGAAACAAAATGACAGTCAGTAAATTCGATCGATAAATTTTCTCTTGAGCGACGCGATGACGTTAATCGTGATCAAATCCTCGCTCGAACGAAGATATGGCGCGATTGCTTTTTTTTGTGTACACGCGAGGTCCCTCGAACCGGGAACAAGGAAATGGGACGCGAACAGTGTTCACCGGTTCGCGCCGCGACGACGGTTCGAAGAAGAGCTCGCATTTCGAAGAACACATTAGTTGGGGCAGTATAATTTCTCGTTTAGGACAGGTGTTGACACCGTCTGTTATCGACGTAGGCCAGGAACACGAACTGCGGGAGTAGTAATACATCTTGAACAGCCGTGCCGTGACGGCCATCGGCATCAATAATTAACGAAAGACGGACCATGGATTTTTCTTGTCGTTTCCTCGGTGCTTTTCTGTTTTCCGCTTTTTTTTCCTCTTCATCCCGTTTTCGTCTGTTTCTTGTTTTTCGTTACATCGAGATCGTTGGAACGGGGCTTCTGATTCATTTTCGTCAATTTCGCGCAGCATCTTAGGGAGGACAGGTTCACCGTAGGTTCTACATTTATTTACACCGCGATCACGAAGTCGCGGACATTTCGTTGGCTGCTGTGACCGCGATCGCACTCCGCCTCGCTTAGCTCAAACGCGTCGGAGAACCCCGAGGGTGGGTCCAACTTGGGGATGAACAGGTTTCCCGATCCGTCACGCTCCTGGTCCCGATTGGAACAGGAATTGTGCGACTGGTGCTTGGAATTGCCAAACCCGGAGATTGGGCCGAAGTGGGAACGGGTCTCCTCGCCGGTATGACGCGCCAGCTGTAACATCCTAATCAAATACACCAGCAATTAGTCTTTTCTCGTTTCACGCTTTCGTTCTTAGATACGTCAGTCTCAAGGGTACAAACGTGTACATATATTGCTTTCATAACGGTAACCTACAATAACTTTTTTACATATACAGGGAGTCTCGAAAATGTCTCGCAGTCCGGAAATGGGAGGTTCTTGAGGTCATTTGAAGCAACTTTTTCCTTTGCGAAAATTTTCTCCGAGGCTTCGTTCACGAGTTATTAACGAAAAACACTGACCAATAAGAGGCGAGCTCGGCTGGCGCGCGGCGGCCCAGCCAACGAGTGCACGGAGCCCAGTTCCGTTGATTGGCTCGGCCGTCTCGCGCCAAATGATCTCGCCTCTGATTGGTCATTGTTTTCCGTTAGTAACTCGTAAACGAAACCGCGGATTGCATTTTCGCTAAGGAAAAAGTTGCTTCAAATGACCTCAGGAATCCCCTACTTTCGGATTGCGAGACATTTTTGGGACAGTCTGTATATCATTAGAAAATACTGATGAGTGTGCCGAATATGCTTTCGTTTTTGAAGAGTCTTTACATGTACGGCGCGTAACGAAATTATTCGCACAGCTATTAAAACGGAATAACTTTCTTGACAATTGCACCAAGTGGCTTGATCTTTTTCAAGATGTTAGAGAGACTAATTTACTGGACAATGTATTAGACAATTTCTATAAAAATTACAAGTGCTTGGAACGGTAAAAAAAGTTAGAAATTCTATTTTCAACATACTTTATACGACTCTGTAACGAAAATTTAAACAATGCACTTTGTAGATCTCAGCTATTTAGAGTTATTGGTCGAATATTGTCAAGAACAGCGTTTTTCGCGACCATAAATTGTTTGTAGCTCATAACAATATTAATCAATTTCGATGAAATATTTTGCATCAATATAGGTTATCGAGATCTACAAAACGCATTGTTTAACACGTTGAATGCCACGCCAGTATTACAGAAATTGTCCGTGGCGCCACGATGAATTTTCTTTTATGTGATACATATAATGTTGAAATATTATCTGCAATAGATATGTTACAGTATATAAGCATATTTGACATGTTAATTGCGACAGGGGTCACCGTTTGAATTGACGATGGTAATAATACAAAATTTTAGATATTGACATTTGTTTTAAATTATATATATTTCTATCAATTCGGGCGCGCCGGTCACCGGTGATCCAATTCGTAATTCTTGCAAAATTATTTTTACACATTATCTGGTAAACTAGTCTCTCTATCATTTTCAAAAAATTGAAGTGATTTGGTTCAATTTCAAGTTCAGTTTTTCCGTTTTATATAATGTTCAAAGGTTTCCGTGATCGATTCTATATTTCAGCAGTACTCCTTAACTTAGTTTCGGTAGAACATTTAGTTACTTAGGTCATTTTTTACAACGTGTTGCATATTATGAGTAACAAAAAAAATATCTCTTTCGATAACAGTTACCCAACTGATGCATGATTATTGTTATTTTACGTTTAAATTTGATACTAGTTTCCGTAACGACTAGTTATGCGTAGTGTTTAAAATGTTTAAAAAACGAAAGCCTATTCTAACGAGGATTTTCTGATGCTTCATGTTATGTGTACTACAATCCTTGTATGGTTCGGTTGTCAGACAACGCTAATATCTGTTAGGGTACGTTTACATTGGAACTGTGATGAAAGCTACAAGAGCATCGATCAAAGCGGTGATAAAAGCTGCCAATAACGCTTTTATTTTGTTTGTAATGGACTGTGCAATTTCAGTCTAATTTCAGGGCAGAAAAGTTATCATTATCTATAACAGTTACAATTATATTATCTTCGACAACATGGTACGTCGAAAAATATGTATGTACGCGTCGCTTTGCTCGCTTCAATGTAAACACATCCATATCAAATAATAAAATGTATATATTCCTAAACTTCGCTCTGATCGACGCTGTTATCGTCTATCGCAGTTGCAACATGTCCTTTATACATATTTATAAGTCATTTTCGAATGTTAATTTTCGAAATCTGAAGGACGCGTTAACTTATTATTCCAATGAGGCGGCAAATTAAAAGGAATCTATTTAATTTTGAGATTTCTTATTTGGCATAGAATATTGTGCCATTAGGTTTGAAAATAGACCGTGCAAAATTTGAAATCGATCGGACAATGGGAAACAGTGCCGTCTTTCGCTCGTACTATATTGACATTATACATTTTTATATATATCGTTAAACTTGTGTTTTTATTCTCTACGATAATGTAAAGACAAAATATGTGATACTTTTGAAAAAACTAGTGGCTGTTGCCTGATTTATTTGAAGTCTTGCTTAGAACCCAATTGCAGAATTCTATTAGTATCGTAATAAATGTTTGAGTGGTTAGAAAATAAAGCCCACGTAATATTGAAAAAAAATAATGAGTTCTAAAAATAATTGCGTATATTAGATTCTCAGAAGCAATAAATAATTATGCTGATAATTGTACATCAATTGGGTACCTGTTATTGAAAGAAATATATTTTTCATACTATGTAAGAATTCCGAATAAGTGAATTAAGAATCAAAAACAACGAAAAAACATGATTTTTTTATTATTCCGATCAAATGCAATTTTCTCTTCCAGTGTCTCGAGAAAAAATACAAGTTCCAAAATTCATTCTTTAAAAAGTTATACCGTTTCAAAGGGTATTGAAATGCTTTCGTGGCTGGCAGTGCAAAGGTTCTATTAAAAAAGAATTTCTAGACTTCGGCGTTTCATATTACAGTGTAATATTATAATAATATAATATTACACAACTTAATATTCAATTTCGTGATAAACTCAGAATTTAATGCATCACTCACTCCATTTTAAAAACAATTTCGAAAATATTAGAGACGATGGATGAGATATTATCAAGTCAGTAGTCATATCAAATAGAAACAGAAGGCAACGAACAGACCCAAACTCATAAGTTAGTCAACTCGAACAGTTCGGATATGATAGATTGAGCCTTACTTGGGTCTACCCCGTCCATGAAAGGATTTTCTCTCACAAATCGGTGAGGGTTCTGTAGACGTGCTAGATTCTGGTCCATGGTACAGGAAGTCTGAAAGTAGAAAACGATCTGGTTTGCTTCAGTTATCCACCCCTGTGCGTACCAGCTCCTCGATCCCATTCGTTTCACGACAATAACAAGCTTAGTGAATGCTCGGTCATATTATCGGTGCATTCTAACGAATGTAGACAGGCAACAGGAACAGACTTCCGGTGGTACTGCGGTGCGTGGAAGAAAATCTCGTGCCTCTCCTCCTCTGATTATTGTTCGAGACACTGTTCGACCGTCAATTATTCGTGACGTGGCCAAATCTGTGTCCTCGACACGTGTCACGACAAAGGCTAAGGGCTGCTAAGGACAGCATTCAAGCGACACCACGAATAACTGACGAAGATTTTACGTTCGCACGGTTTTCGTCCGATGCTAGCGAAGCTATCATTTACACGCTTAGCTTTCGTGTAAAACACTAAATAATTTAGTCGCTCAGTCGGGCAAGCGAAGTATTTTCGTCCAAATGCTGTGTTCAACGAAGCTTTTTATATCGGGAAACTCTCTGATTTTTAATCCTATTTTTTCCTACAAATTACCGATCCTCATTGTTGACGCATTTAGAACTTTCTTTTCAGTGAACTCTAATCGAACAGATTCTTCAATGACAATCTCAAAAATATAAATCACAATGAAATTGCAATATTTTCGATAATACAAACAACGAACATTTTCAGAATTTTCTATATTGAGGATTCTTCTTGAACGTTTCTAGGGCAAACATCAGTGACTTCGGTGTAACCAATGTTGCTCAGATGTTCGCGAACTCCAATGCAAAAGGCTGACGAGAGGATGACGCTCGTGGGCATCGAACAGTACAGTATTCTCTCCATAACTGGAGAAATCTCGGGTCTGCAGAGTTGCAGTTACAGGAGAGGTATACATTCTTTACAGTACTCCGAAAGTAGAGAAGGATCGCGATTTAAAAAAAAAAAGAGGGACTAAGGTTCGAGTCTCGGTGAACGTTAAAGAACTCTAGCAAGATTAGCATTTTAAATGAAAAATTTCTCTTTTCATCATTGAGATTTTCACCATCGTATTCATCTCGTTTTATCGATTAAAGCGACACCAGACGCGGTATAATTACGATTACATTTACTTGTGCGAAACATTGATCATTTATTGCAGAAGTAATTATAATCGTAATTATATCGTGTATATCAATGAAACGAGATGACTACGATGTTGAAAATTTCATAAAACAGAAATCAAGAATAAGAAAAGTTGCGATCTTTTGCTTCGCTTGCATTAGTGTGGTTCTCACCGACACAAGATCCCTCGAAAAACACTGTGTTAACGAGCACAACATGCGCCACAGTCACCTACATCGTCTGACTTGCAAATATCGCGCCGTATACAAGGTGTCCTAAAAGTGTTGCAAGCCCTTGAAAGAGGTGAATCCTGAAGAATAACCCCTTTCAAGGGCTTACGCATTTTAGGGCATCCTCTACGTTGATGGTTTCGCGTGAGAATTACGTGCCACGTGCATCACCGTTGGCATACGTTAAACTTTCCATGCTGGAAAGTTCAGGTATTTATTAAATGCGCCGAAAAGATGCAGTTTGTAACAAGTTTAAGACTGAAAAGTATTTTTGAATTGTTACGTGTACAATAATCAATAAGTACATGTAATTCAGCAATCATTAGAGGAAACGCGAAGTGACCCGATGTTGAGCAAAAACGGCTCGACGCGGAACGCGTTAAGTAACGATTAATCCCAAGGAGAATCGTCACTGTGGTGGATAAGAAATGCGAGCAATTATGGTAGAGATATTTTCGTCGGTTGTGGAGAGAATACTGTATGGAGTATAAAATCATCTGTTTCGCGTAGCGACAGTCGCAGGTCCCCGAGAAGGAGAGATCACGCGGGTACAGAGAGATGACGGAGAAACAGATAGACCCAGACAGACGGGAGGCCGTGAACAAAAGTGAAACAGAAAAAGAGAGTAGGTGTAAACCGAATAAAAGGATGAAAGACTGCATACTGTGGACTCGCGAGTCGGCCGCAGACACCGAGTGGTTCGAATCGACGAGGTGATTGGAAGACTCGGTTCGGCTGCTGGTCCCGACTTCCGTGTCGCTATCCGAGCCCAGGGTGTCGTATTCCTCCGACTCGGACTTGCCCTGACTGACTTTCCGCGTTTTGTGCAACGGCGCAGAGGACGAACGGCCTCCGCGCACCTTAGTGTACCGGTTGCAATCCGACTGCAATCAGACGGAATTGTTTTTGTCGATGAATTGGCACATCGTACGAGGAAAACGAGGAGACGCGCCACACCGATCTTTCGCTCAATGATCAGCTCGTACTACTCACAGTTAGCCTATAGCCTCTAGATCAGAGCCATCGTCGATTCGATGCTCCCTTTGAAATTAGCAGTTTCACCATCAACACGTTCCCTGCCAAGCTGCATTCGACGAAATGTCATTACGACGCCATGCGGATTTTCCTATTTCTTTTCTCTTCCAGCGTTGGAAATTTGTGCTTGATATTTTTCAACATTTCGAAAATAATTTACAGGGTACGACGATCAAATAACTGATAAAAAGATAAAGTAGCGAAAGAACATGAACATTGGCGTAGAAATGAGTCTCGGCGTGTACCGAAGATGGTACTCGTGGCAGAGAACGTGAAAAACAATTTTACTATTCGCCAATCGTTTCAATGACTCTTCCTTGATGCAAATTGCACATTTCCCACTTCGCTATGGAATATAGCTGCCTTGTCTTCGCACTTAAATGGAGAACATTGTACTGTAGCGATAATGGTGGTGTTGATATCAAGCGTTCGCTTGAATAATGATTGATTACGGAAATATGATAGACAATTCCTGGAGATGGAAAATGTAATAGCAAGTATGAACGAGTTGTTTGGAACCAGTGCTGTCTGGACGTGAGTTGAAACAAGCTTTTTCATGGTTCACCATTTTCGGTGTCAAAGTGTGTCGCGTACTTTAGCTTATTAGCAGTTCCGTTACGGTTTGCGAGCTTCCAGCGAACGCACGGATACGTCCAAGCTCGAGACTCGATAGGAGACTCGAATTATACTCTAATTAGTTGGCTCTATTCCGTCTATGTTAAATTCTGCTATCCCTCGAGATGGACGAACTTATTATCGATCGAAGAAGTTTCGGACAATGAATGAATACAGAGCGAGTCCAGTTACAAAGCGAAATGATATTTCTAAGAAGCTATATATTATATTAGGTCTACCGGAAAGTTCTGTCCGATAGTGTCACTTCAAGTTTCAATCCATACGCACATGTTGATTTGAGACATATATGACTATCTCTCTTTGTCATTGCATTTACACACGTGTACTCTCCTAAATAAACTGAAACAAAGATGTCTCGTGTCATTATTAAGCGAGACGCGATCGTGAAAACATGGCTACCGATGATAATGCCGGACCACATGCTGCTTTGGCGACTCGTCAGAAAATCGTAGGGCTAGGCTGGGAAATTCTGTCGCATCCACCATACTCCCCAGACCTAGCACCCTCCGATTATTACTTGTTTCTCTCTTTGCAAAACTTTTTACAGGAAAAAAATTCAAAATTGAAGCTGATGTCAACCAAGCGCTAGTTGAGTTCTTCGCCTCTAAAAATAAATCATTTTTTAAAAATGGCATTTACAAGTTGCCATCACGCTGGCAAGAAGTCATAAGTAACGATGGAAAGTATATTCTACAA